CAATCAATCATTCAATCATTCAATCAATCAGTCAATCCAATCAATACATTCATTTAATCATTGGTTGGTTGATTGATTGATTGATTGATTGATTGATTGATCGATTGAACTGATCTCTCTCTCTCTCTCTCTCTCTCTCTCTCTCTCTCTCTCTATATATATATATATATATATATATATATATATGAAAACGTCAATCATTCAATCGATCATTCGATCAATCCAATGACTCCGGTTTGTCGTGCGGGGTTTCTGACATGTCATCAAGTTGGTCACTCAGTCGCTGAATCGGATGTGTGTAAGGCGGTCTGGTCGAAGGTCAATCTGTCAAGAAGTTCGTGAGTCTTTCTCTAAATCAGTCTCTTTTCCAGTGCATCGGTGACAATGCAAGTCACTTAGTCTGTCATCCGATGAGTGTTTGTTGATTACAGGACCGGACGTGGTTATTTTCGCCATTTGGCAGGTCATCGTTTTCGAGATTGTGTTGCCGTCGTTGCACCGTCCACCACCCACCACACGCACGGCGCGGGAGAGGGCCGCCCATCTGTCATGGATGACGCACCAGCCAGTTTCACGCCTCATGACGGCAGGTCAGCAGAACGGCCACCCACTTGGCCCGCGCGTGGCAATGCCACGCCGGTATCACCACATGCCGGACAACACGGTTTGCTGGGAGTATCCCCTTATGACAGCCCGGATGACATGCGATCAACAAAGAGGCCTCGTATGCACTCTCTTTCGCTTACGGTCGTCGTCACTCCCGGCGTTGCAGTTGTGCATTCTCCGTTGCCGCCCTGGTTGCCGTGTCCAGCGCGCCGTCCATACACTCCAGTACACCCTCTGTCGGATTTTGATGCGTTGTGTTTTCCTGTGCTGTCGCCGCCATTGCAACCTCGCCGTTTGCAGTTTCTGTCGTGTGCTGCGCAGCCATTTCCTCCTCCACTTTTCGTTGGACGTGACGGGTTGGACTCCATCCCTCTAGAGGGGTGTTCTTAATCATCAGGAGCGGTGTTTGGAAGTGGAGGGTCCACACTGCGTGATGGAGGACGTCGGAGTGTAGAACCGCGGGTCTCACATTCGTTCGCTGCATCAGGTCATGGGCAGGGGGGTGTATTGGATGATGCACGTCGTGCCTCTGCCGGGGACACACATGACCGTAATTCCGCCCGTCGCTCTCTCATCTCCCGGTTCGACGAGGATGACAATGTGTGTGGTAGCGGAGATGGGCCCGACCGTTGCGATCCTGGCGCTCAAAATCTTGGTGCGGGTCGTTCTGAACACTCGGGCGGGTCTTTGGGGCAATTTGGTTCGCAGTCAACTGGTTCCACGATGTACTCTCGTTTGTTCCTGACTACCGCTTGCAAGGAGAGACTGCGCCTTTTACAATCTGCGATGAAAGAAGTAAGCGACAAGTCTGGGGTCATGAGCGATGTCGTCGACCGACTGTTGCATTGGTCATTGCCAGCCATCCAGTCAGAGTTCGGGGACGGTGTGGCGTCGAGGATCGAGAGAACACTACCGGCCGGCAGCCGTGCAGATGTGTTTCGTCTCGGAGCAGGCGGGGATGATTCGACAGCGGACGCTGAGGATGATGGCGAGCGTGAGGGTGAAGGGAGTGGTGGAGGCAATGGCGGGTCATTTTATGGGTTGGATGATTCACTACCGCGTTCAGGGCACGGGTCACAGTGTGGCCGCAGATCGCGCAGGCGGCCACCAAGTCGTGGCAGGTCGCGTTCGCATTTTGAACATGTACGTCCTTTGTGCTGGGACGATTCGAAGGATGGTGCTCTGCAAACCGAACCTTGCAATAATCGGTACGCATATGTGTTGGAATCAATGGGGCACTGGGAAGGCTCGAAAGCGCCTGATGTCGTCTTCGTGGAGCCGGTGAAGCTGCTGCAGTTGCTCGGGTTGTTTGATTTGAGTTGCCCGCGCGACGGGGGCGGTTGTGCTGTGGATGTGTCCTCTGTCGGTTTATCCTGGGCAGATTTGTCGCATTTCGCTTGCTTGTGATAAGTCCTGTCGTTGGACATGGCACAGTGCACTGGTTGGGGGAGTTGTGTACTCTTGCAGACTTCAGCAGCAGTTATTCCATGCGACCGTCACTGCGGGTATGACATATACCGTCCTCAATGACTTCTGCATCGCGTTTGGGGTGGCACCTGTGCACAAGCCCACTTTTTACAGTTGCATGCGCGGTGAGCCGAATGTGCGTGAGGGTTGGAATGCAAAGGTTGTCAGGCAGAGCGTGCGGTATTGCGACTTGGCCATTGACACGGTTATGCGATTAGGGAGACCCGTCACTTTGATGGTTGACGGTCGCTACGACTCGGCCAGGTCTGCGCAACATTGCACTGTTACCGTGATTGAGTGTGATACTCGTCTTGTGGTGGGTGTTCACACCCTTCGGCCAAAAAATGAGGGAAAGGCGTCGAACCAACTTGAGGTTCCTGCTGTTGTGCGCCTGTTGAGAGGCTTGATGTCGAGGGAGTTGAAGATCCGGTGTGTTGCCTCCGACGATTATGCTGCATTGGGTCCACAATTGGAGCGTCTGGGTATTGAATGGCAGAAGGATTGCCATCATAAGGTAAAAAACATTCGCAAGGCACTTAGAAAAGTCGTGACACTGAAGGTGCCAAAGAAATTGAACAACCCTCATCAGTGCGTGTCGGAATCTCAGTTTATGCAGTTCACGAAGAAGGAGCTGTTGGATGCCTTGACAGACCGTTTTGGACCAGGATCTTTGACGGCAAAAGAAGAACGATTGAAGAAGAGCGACTTCGTTGCTCTTGTGATTAGCAAAATGTACCCGTACGGCACGATGAAAAATAACAAATCCTTGGTCGTGGATGCAGATGGTGTGACTGAGTTCCATATGCATGAGGTGGGGCATTGGTTTCTTTGTGCTTCCCAGCTTTGCAGAGATGAGGGCGGCGACTTTGTCACTCTGCACAATGATGTCATGATGATCGCCGACCATTGGGCCGAGGACCACTCCAGGTGCATTGCGGACAGAGAGCTTCTATGCTCAAAGGCGGGTGGTCCATCTCGGCTGCCCCTGTACACGCACGACGACCCCGTGTATGACATCATTCGCTAAACGTTGGGCAGGCATTGTAGCACGACCATTTGTTCGTACTACACGGAGTTCCGTCACAGGTCGACTGTTGAGACCTTCCAGGGCACAATCATCATTTACACGAAGAAGACCTTGCACTTCGAGAAGTCGTATGAGCCGCGTTTGGCGATTGCAGTCATTCGATGGAACAGTCATGCATGGSAGGATCCCTTGGAGTATCGTGTCCGCAGGCCTTCTGGGACTTCGATTCGTCCAAGGCCGAGCCACTACCGTCACAATCGGCCACCTACCGATTCGTGGATGGATCGGTTGTCCACGTTCATCTTCGGTTCAAAATGTGTTTCAGATTGGACTCGACGCCTTCTCGAGTACGACGACTGTGATGTGTCAGGCGAGGTCGGGTCCTCGACACCTCCTCTGCCTCGCGATTTTTTTTGCAGAGGCGAGGATACCATTGCCCGTGACGAGGACGACGTTGCTTCAGGTGCGGATCCCGACGTTATGGGGGATGACGATGTTTTCATCATTGGCGACGGGGATTGGTTGCCTGGACCGGCGGATGCCGTGTCCGATCGATTATGCGATTCTCTATTGGACGCAGATGATGTCGACTTGTTCGACGACTGACATCATGTTATGTCGTAGTATCTTGTACATGCGACTTTTATGTTTTTCGGCTTTTTAGTTTGACGTGTTGATTGTATATATATATATATATATATATATATATATATATATATATATATATATATATATATTTCCAGTCTGACTGCAAAGACTGATGGCGAGGCTGTATACTACCCCGTAGGGTTAAATTTGTAATTTCGTTTGACTCGGGCGTAACCGTGAGACCAACCTGTGAGGAAAATTCGTGAGGGTCACATCATTAAATATGGAAAATATGGGTCCAACATTATTTCGAATTTTCTATACGTACAGTTACTGCGAATAGCAGGCCCGGACTACCCCCAGGACAGACAGGCCCTAATGACCAGATCTGATGGATGGTCCTATAGCCTATAGTCGGGTCCGATAGAGGCCGAGAAGGCGAAATTGCAACGGTACTGGTCGGTTAGTCAGTCCGGTCTACGTGTAGGTTAGAGTACTGTATTCTATTAGTAGAATGAGGGAAATCGATTGGGGACGAAGCGACTGTAACAAACTGTGNTATATATATATATATATATATATTTCCAGTCTGACTGCAAAGACTGATGGCGAGGCTGTATACTACCCCGTAGGGTTAAATTTGTAATTTCGTTTGACTCGGGCGTAACCGTGAGACCAACCTGTGAGGAAAATTCGTGAGGGTCACATCATTAAATATGGAAAATATGGGTCCAACATTATTTCGAATTTTCTATACGTACAGTTACTGCGAATAGCAGGCCCGGACTACCCCCAGGACAGACAGGCCCTAATGACCAGATCTGATGGATGGTCCTATAGCCTATAGTCGGGTCCGATAGAGGCCGAGAAGGCGAAATTGCAACGGTACTGGTCGGTTAGTCAGTCCGGTCTACGTGTAGGTTAGAGTACTGTATTCTATTAGTAGAATGAGGGAAATCGATTGGGGACGAAGCGACTGTAACAAACTGTGTTATGATATTCGTTCGAGTTGGCTCATTATCTCTCTCTCTATCAATTGTGATTTTGCTGAGGTTCTTTATTGTGATTGTTTGTTGGGAGTCTGTCGGAGAGTGAGAGTCATTGTGTGACCTCGTCGATGTGTGCATGGTAGAATTCCGCTGCTTATCCTTGTCTGTGTGTGTGATTGACTCTGTCACCTTTCCCCCTCTTGTTATGCATGTGTGGGCGTGGTTTATATTGTATGGGTGGTTAGGTGTTTTAAAAAATAAAATCGTCTCCCCCTGTTCTTATGTATGTGTGGCCGTGTTTGAGAATGTCTGTGTGTGAGCGTCGGAAAAAATCGTAATACAACCAAGTAATATATATATATATATATATACATATATATATATATATATTTATATATATCTATATATATTTATATACATATATATATATATATATATCACACATCTGATGGTATCTCATGTCTTATGTTTAATTAATTTTTTATTTTTTTTTCCTCCTCTGCGTATAGATATTATTGGACCAATGCCGAGTTACACATACATCTATACTTCACATGCATACGCACTTAGGCAACAGTTGGATCGCACATTATATAGCCGAACCAATTCAGATTTTCACGTTGATCCAATATTGCAATGGCATCCAGTTGCAACAGTAAATAAATGAAGTTGAGTGGCGAGATCGAGGATTATAAGAAGAAGAAGATTATGTACAGCAGGGAAACCAAATTTTACATAATTCACTCACTGCAAGTCACGACAATAGGTAAGTACCGGGCTTGATGGCTTGTCGAACAAGCACGGGCCGTTACGAGTCACACCAAAAGCAACGACCACGCTTAAGTTTACGATCGCGCACACACACTTTAGGCAAACACACAGTCATACTGACAAACGTACTCACACTGCAGGCAAGCATACTCTCTCTCTCTCTCTCTCTCTCTCTCTCTCTCTCTCTCTCTCTCTCTCTCTCTCTCTCTCGATCTATCTATCTATCTCTCGATCTCTCGTTAAGCATTTACTGCCGTGCACGTCGACGTGGGCGCGCGTTTTCAGGAGGATCATATTGTCGTAGTTCAAAACCTCGAATAATTGTATCTGACCATCGTTCCCGCATTGCGTCTTGGAACTCATCTAGCAATCTCTGTCGGAAAACGACGAACCCGCACAGCCGAGAAAAAACGACATATCCATTGTTACGATTCTGCTTGGGTTCGAGATTTGCACGACCAATAAGCAGGTTCATGCACTGTTGCAAATGCTCCTCCACGCCAGCAAAAGTCACAGCCTCCTTCAAAAGCGTTGCGGGTCCCGGCCACCGGCTCCTAAACTTGGCGACTGTCAGCTCCTCGTCGGGGAAAGGATCAGTACCTGTCCCATTTCCAAATACTACTGCGTCGGCCCGCACGCCAGCCCTGCGTCGTCGACGATCCATGTATTTGAAAGGGTGAATATTGTTATGTCGCTTATGTGTAATTTTTTTGAAATCTACAAAACAGAACATTACAGGCACCGATTACCTTAGTACTGTACCTACTGTACCTCCACATAACGAAAACGAAAACAAATTTCAGAACGCAAAGTAGGCAAAAAAAAAAAAAATATACTGAAAACATATAACAAACATATGGGAGATATGGCTTGCATATGTATAAAGAGAGAATGTACAATCATTAAAACCATAATCTCTCTATCTCTTCAAAAACGAAAAAACTAAGAAAAAAATTAACGAATGGTACTCATCGTTGGGTCGCACTGCAAGGACAAAACATAACAGAGAAATCCTCGCCATTAGAGACAAAATAGGGCGGTGACACGACCATGCGCCAGACGCCGTCTCGAGCAACCGTCCCGTAGTGTGTGTATAGTATACGATGCACAAGGGGGAATACGATATCATACATGAAATCACCGTCGACCGGTTTGAGATAAAAGGTACTGAAGTACGTGGTTGGCTTAGACATTAGGACACGAACGTGTTCGATG